TCTAGTTTTTTTTTTTTTTTTAAGATTTTATTTATTTATTTGAGAGAGAGAGAGAGAGAGAAAGCATGTGAGCAGGGGGAGGGGCAGAGGCAGAAGGAGAAGCAGACTCCCCTATCCCAGAGTACAGAGCCCTATCCCAGGACCCTGGGGTCATGACTTGAGGGATCACGACCTGAGCCAAAGGCAGATGCCTAACTGACTGAGCCACCCAGGGGGTCCCTGCCTACCCTAGTTTTAAATGCCATCACTGTCAACTAGTATTTGTGCTCATGAGCCCAGTCACACCCCTCTAGCTCCAGGAGGGCCAACTGTAGGTGGAGCCGCGGCTTACCCCTCAACCCTCCCCACCCCCGCCACTGTTTCTGCCCTTGAGACACTGCATTCTTTGCATTCTTTGCCTCTCCTTGGCCTTTGTTCAACATCAGCAATGCACATTTAATTCTTACCAGCATTCTGGGCAAGCCAGTCTTTCGAAACCTTTCATTTTTCATTTTTATACCTTAAGCTTTGGCACTCCTAGCAATCTCCGGGCAATTTTGACTTATCTGGACTCTTGTCTTCCTCTAGCCACTGTCCTCTGCCTCTTTGAGGGTGCCATCTAGAAAACAGAGCAATGTGTTTGCCACCACGCTTCCCGCACCGCCCCCCCCGCCCAGGTCACCCCGTTGTAGCTTTCCTTCTTTGCTGGCCTCTCCTCACCATCCACATCTCATGTCCTCGAGGCCTTGATGACCTATGTCCAGCAGCTCACCTGGCTTTATCCAGCTTGTAGTTCTAACCTCCCAACGTCTTCTTGTATTAGGAATCTGTCCTCCCTGATGTTTGCTACATCTCCCAATTTAGTATCCTCTGCAAATTTAATTAACACGCGGTTGCCTCCCTGTTCCAGGCCATTAATGAAGATGTTATGCAGTACCCAGCAAACAATATTTTCAAGGTCATGAGGAGAGGAGAGCTGAACTGCTAATACTTCTGCCCAACATGGGGGAAAGAGGCAATCAAGGGCCCAAATGTGGTTTGAGTCGCTTCCTCTGAGTTTTGTGAACTTCCTTTCCCAGACATGGGTCAGGTTTTTTGCCTCCCCTCTGCTTCAGCCGCTGTACATCGGAGGCGGTCCCAGGTCAGAGAAGGAAGAACATCAGATTATGCCTTCCTTTTATTTTTGTCCAGTTTCTAGCAGGAGAGAGAGAGCCACTAATTGAGCATTTGTAGGGAGAGACAGTGTACATGGTAAAGACAAAGTAGTTGTGATTATGCTTGTTATCCACCGTCTCTCCATTTTGGAAGCACTACACTCGACAGTGGAAAATACACCTCGAGACCCAGGACCCAGACAGAGAGGAGAGAGAAGACATTCTCCTGGTGGGAACCTTCCTAACGGTCGGACCCTCACGATCCGCAGCCAAGACGGGCAGGAAGGAGAGACCCCTTCCTCCTTACAGCTTGTGACTCCAGAACAGAGGCCACAGCAGAGCCCCACACTGGTCCACGTTCCCCCCTGCATTATAGGGAGTAGCTCCCTGGGAACCCCGATTTGTGTTTCTTCCAGACCAAACTGCAGATATCATATGTAACACTGTAAAGTGCTTGGGTCAGAAGTCCTGAATCACAGGAGAGCTTCAGGATAATGCTACTCACGTGCAGAAAATTGATCCCAGATTATTTACTGTTTCCAGCACCTCCTTTCTCCCCATCTCTCATCGCGGGCCTGTCTCCGGTTCCCAGGTTCCTATCATTTCTCAGACGGAATGTCTCTGGATCAGAGCCCGGACTGGGCCAGCAGAGGCAGGGTGCTGGTCTCAGAGGCCTGGTGTACAGGGGTGATGGGGAGAGGCTTCGAATTTACCCTTGTGTGTGGCAGACAGCCTGGCCCACCGCATGCAGTCCTCCCCGGGTCCAGGTCTGACCTCTCCAAACCCGAGAACACACAAGAACAACCTGCATTTGTCGCAGTTGGTCCATTCGGACTGGGTAGTGCTAAGGCACCTTGCCAAGGGCTGGCTTAGGAGAAAGTGGCAGGTTTGTAGAATTTCTACAGGGCCCTATCAAGGCCTTCCCCAGCTGTAAACATCCACGTGCTCACTCATCAAATTTCAAGTGGCAAAAACCACAGTGGGCTCTGAAGCCAGGCTTTGAATCCCGGCCCTGCCGTTTTAATAGGTGTGATCTTGGGCCCAATGTTTCACCTCAGTTTTCCTACCTGTAAAATGGAACAATACCCACACCAGCCTCAGAGTATTGTACGATTTTAAAAAGCTGATACGTAGGATGTCTGGCTGTTATTTTTTAATGTATCAAGCACCTTCCACGCTCCAGACACGGTCAAGGCCAAGGATAAGCAAACTTTCTAGAAGACCCAAATAATAAATAGCTTCAGCTTTGTGGGTCTTAATGTCTCTGTCCAACTATTCAACTCTCTTGTTAGAGCCCCAAAGCAGGCACAGACAGCAAACAAATGAATGAGAGTGGCCGTGTTCCAAGAAAACCTTATTTATGGGCACAGGAATTGGAATTTCGTAAAAATTCACATGTCACCAAAAATCCCTTTTCTTCTGATTTTTTGAATTATTAAAAAAAAACGTAAAAACTACTCTTAGCTCACAAGCTGGTTTTGGCCCACGGACCACAGTTGGCCTGCCCCCCCACCCGACCATGTGTTAGAGATGAAGGTATGGACCTGAGCCCCTTCCCCTCCTCCCCTCCCCCAGGAGAATATGGTGCTAACAGAGGCTTCCAGAGCCTGGGAAGTGGGGAGGGGGTTTCTCCTTCACCTTGCTCATGCTATCTTGCCACCCCCAAGATCTGTGACCATGTCTTAAAAGCCATTCTTGCAACCTGGGGCAGGGTGGGCAGTGGCATCTCAGTTCCAAGCCCCCGCATTTTAAGCTCTCATTCCTTGGGGCTAAGTCTCAGAGACTGCAGAGACCCAGGGCACAGGCTGAACAGCAGTTGGCGAGTCCACGATCCAGCGATCCAGTGTCTGACCCGGCCTTGGAGTGGAATGCCCAGACCCCGCGGGCAGGAAGCCTTGCTGAGCATAAGATTGGGTTTGTAGCTGCACAAACATTTGTTTCTTTCTGAGGGGAAAAGCCACAGCAGAGAGGTCTGACAGGGGAGGGGTTCCTGGACCAAGAGCAATCCCCATCTGGATGTGTGCAGCAGCCTCTCTGGAAAGTGCTACTGGCCAGCAAGTTTCTGCTGGGGAAAGGGCCTCCACTAGCCCAGGCCCTCTGGACCTCACACTCAGTTGTTTGTTTTTTTCTTTTTTTTTTTTTAATTTTTTTTCTTAATTTGACAGAGATCACAAGTAGGCAGAGAGGCAGGCAGAGAGAGATGGGGAAGCAGGCTCCCCGCTGACCAGAGAGCCAGATGCAGGACTCGATCCCAGGACCCTGAGATCATGACCTGAGCCAAAGGCAGAGGTTTAACCCACTGAGCCACCAAGGTGCCCCATAGTGCTTTGTTTTGTTTTTAATTTTATTTATTAATTTGACAGAGTGAGCACAAGCAAGGGGAGGGGCAGAAAGGGGGAGAAGCAGGCTCCCTGCTGGACAGGGAGCCCAATGCAGGACTCCATCCCACATGACCTGAGCTGAAGGCAGACGCTTAACTGACTGAGCCACCCAGGTGTCCCCAGCAGCTGAGTTCTAAGTGGGCCAGAGGGTGCCATCTGGGTGGGAGTTGGCCTCCACCAAATCCTGACTGTTTCCTGAGGCAGAGGCCTTCCAGGAAGGCCCCAGAAGTCCACAGGTGGCAGGCCCTGCCTGCTGTTTCCATGAGCTTCAAGAATCCGGGCTCCCCACCCAAAGCCCCCAAGGTGTGGCCAAAGGTTAATGGGCTCCCAAGGGCGCGCCAGAGGGCCCATCAGACCAGCAAGATACCAGATATAAAGACCGGTCAGATCAGCCAGATACCAGAGGACAAACAGACACAGACTCTGCCAGTCCCATTCACACCGCGCTGATGTGAGTAGCCATGGTTGGGGGGTGTGGGGAGAGTTCAGCATGAGCCCCAGGGCAGAACAGTGGTGCGAGCAGAGCCAGCCTGGTCCAGAGATCTCCCCTGTGTCTCTCCTGACACCTTCCAATACTTCACTAGGCTTTGGACTGCAAGCCCCGGAGCCGATTTCCAGAGTAGCAGGTTAAAGCCACTCATCGTGTGTGTTAAAGCAGGACTGCCCCGGAGCAGGGAAGCTGGAGGGAAGAGTGGGTGGGTTCCGTTCCTGGCAAAAGAGAGGCTGTGTGGGTGCATGGTGCCGTTGACTACAACTACAGGCCAGGAACCCAAACCAGAGCTCAGTGTGGACGCAGGACCCCCACATGGCATGGAGGCTTCACTCTGGAAAGATAAAGGTGAAGCGGGTCCCTAGGGAGATTGAGTGACGAGGCCGGACTCGCCAGAGCCAGGGCTCCTATGGGAGGGCAGGGACCAGACAGGCACCCCCTCCTCCAGCCTGATCGCTTGAAGACTGGAGCCCTATCCTGGGAGATGGAAAAGGGAAGTCAGTGTCTCATCATACAGTGAAAAGCTCTCCCACTCCGAGCTCCCGGGAACGCAAATGAATGTAGGTGACATGCCAACTGCCAGTTGGATCAAGAAAATGAGCAGCAATTGGATTTTGCCTTTTTTTATTTAAGGTTTTTATTGATTCTTATGGAGGGAATTAAATGTGAACACCAGAATGAAAAGGGCTCTGTAGCATCTCTGTGAAGGAAACGGGACGCCATCGATGTGACGCATCGTCTCCACCGTGGGAGGGAAGTCAGGGCCCTCCAGCCTCCAAAGGGAGATGATAGGAAGAAGAGTGATTGGGAGCCCTCCATCCCTGCCCAACCTCTGTACTGCTCCAGGTCCTCCTGGGGTCCCAGACCAGATCTCAGCTGTCCCCACAGATGGGGAAGGCAGTCGGTTGGTGGGTGGTCTTCTGACCCTGAATTTGTATGTAGCTGCCATGGGAGGCTTTGACTGCCTGAGCTCTCATGTTCTTTCTCATGGAGTGTTAGCCAGATGGAGAGAGAAAGTAGGACGGGGACAGGAGGCATCAAAGAAGGCAGAGGGAGTGTCCTGCTTAGTAGAGGTGGCTTCAGATGACTGAGGAGAAGGGTCCTGGACGCGGGGAGGCAGGACGCAAGTCCGCATTCTTGGATGATTCTCTTCAAAGGGGTAATGGGGGTTGGAACTGCAGGGAAGCTTGGAGACCAGTCCAGGGCTGGACCCTTTCCTGCCAACAGAATCCAGGCTGTCCAAGGGCTGTGAGAGCCCCAAGCTGACTCCCTGAAACTCTTTATCTGCAACCCTGTAATGCCCCCAACTCTGCCTGCTGTGGAGGCTGCCTGTGGTCTCTCCTCCTTGCTCTGGGGCCTGGCCCCTTCACTCATCAGCCCACTCAGCGCAGGAATGTTGGGGCCTAGATTGCATTCAGCAGGCTGCCCCCTGCGATGCCCTTCTCCACTTTCTGTGAGCAGAGGCAACGTGGAGTGGCGTGCAGGGCCAAGCAGCAGGCCTCAGGAAGCCAGCCTTCCAACCTCCACCACCTCTGAATAAGTCTCCTCACCTGTCTAGGTCCCCTCCCCTCCCCAGATAGCACCTGCTCCCAGGTGAGTGTGTGGATTGTGTGGGAGAGGGCTTGGAAGGGGGCACTATGCACCAGGGTAAGGAGTCAACTGAGGCTGGCACCCAGCAGGCAGCACCCTACCCCACCCCCACCATAGGACTATCCGCACCCAGCCCGGAGTCTGCCCAGCTGACCCCATTTCTCAAGCCTTTGTTCTCCTGGGGTCACCACACCTACCTGTTTCCTGGCAGGTGTCTGTGGCCCACCTTCTGGCCTACCAATCCAGACATACCCACTTCCTGGGACACAAGAGGCCCCACATGTACAAACCGGCACCCCCAGCACTTGCAGCATTCTGAGGTGTCGGGAGGGGGTTGCCAGGAACAGAAGCACTCTGTGTTGTTTCTAGACAACCAACAGGCAGCTAGCTGGAGCTCTGGAAGAGTCTCGTTCTTCTGAAGTGGAGACCCCACTTCAGCTCTAGGATGCTGTTCCCTGCTGAAATTTTCCATCTGGCTCTGCTTCCATCTGGGCAAAGTGTTCCAGCCCCTCTCTCTCCAGACCCAGTGCCTCTGGCACTCTTCGGGGAAACCTGGGGTCATCTGGGCCTGGGTCTGTCCCTTTTGTCATCCTCATCAGCTCAGGGCACAGGGAGGGCTCAAGGGGGGAGCACAATTCTGTTGATTATCTAGTCTTTCTTCTGAGACATGGGTCCTTCCCACTTCATGAGCCCCACTGACCCTGGAGGACTGCAGCTGTGACAAAGAGGGGAGCTGACACATGGACAACTGCTCCCCCAGCATGTGGCAGGGGCCGGGCCACCTCTCCCAGGCCTGGCTCTGTGACAGAGAAGGGGCTCTGAGCTCCTCCGGTCAAGCCCCACACCCGGCCCGCATCAGGAGAGGCTAAGTGGCTTGCTCAAGGTCACAGCTGTAGGGAATGTGTGCACCGTAAGCCCTGTGACAAGATTTTCTTGTCTCTGTCCAGCTCCAGGATGGTGTCCCGAAAGGCTGTGGCTGCTCTGCTTGTGGTGCACGTGGCTGCCATGCTGGCCTCCCAGACAGAAGCCTTCGTTCCCATCTTCACCCACAGCGAGCTCCAGAAGATCCGGGTAGGAAATCCCCCCCACAACACACACACACCTCAAGGCATGCCCGCCTCCCCTGTGTGGCCCAAGTGACGCAGAGCCCTGCTCAGCACTCAGGTGGCCTTAGTCTCTCTAAGGCACAAGTAAGTGTCCCTTTGGTAAACCCATGTTTAATCAGCTAAGCTAGCCCCACTGAGGACAGCATTAAGGACCCAGACCCGAGCTAGCCCCCAGCTCCAGCTGTCTCCCTGCCACCTTCACTCCTCCCCAGCACCACACACAGGTGACTGCAGCTCCTACACACAACACCTTTTCCCGCCCCTGCCAATCCTTCAGAGGAGATTTTCCATTAACAAGCCAATCAGTATTTGCTGAGCATCTCCGAGGTATAAACAGCCACGCTGGGGGAGAGGCCAGGCACACAGGAGATCTAAGAGCCTCCGTCTTCAAGGAGCAGGCTCAGCTGCCAAGATACAAACACATGAAAAAGTCACTAACAATAGAGAACAAGAGAAATGTCACGAGGTAGGACGTGATTAATTGCCCAGCGAGGACGCTGATGTTAAGTGCGAAGCTCGGAGGAGGGAGAGGTCTCCACGGGCTGGCGCGTGTCGGCAACTTACAGAGAAGAGGTGAGCATGGATCTGGGGGTCTTTAGAGAGAAGGAGGGGCACTCGGTGGGAGCAAATGCCCAGAGTGGGAAAGAAGAAGCTGCTGCTCCCTGAAGTGTCGGCCAGAGCCGCCTCTTGAGAACCCAGAAGTAAACCAGGCAGACTTAACAGAACTCGGGGGGCGGGTCCCCCAAAAAAGTGACCACCCGACCTGGCTCCCTGTGCCTTTTACTTTAGATGTCCAGAGGTTCTGAGTATCTTGTACAGACAGTTGTTTCTCTCTGACCTGAGGAGGTGAAAAAATGGGACTTTTGTGTCCCACCTGTCTGAGACCAAGGCTCCACTAGGAACAAAGACAAGAATCTATTTTCTGGGAGGTTGCATGGCCTCTGGACCCACGTGCTCTGTCCGGGGCGGGCTGCCCCAGACCCAGTGACCAGTGTCCTCTGCCAAGACAAGGCTGGCCGCAGCCTCCCTTCTTCGTGGGGGTGAAGCATAGTCATGGAAATACGGAGGAGATGTGGCAGTCTCTCTAAACACACTTCCTCCACCACCAGCTTCCTCCCCAGAAGAGACAGCCCTTTGTTCTAGAATCACCATGTCTCAGGCAAGGCCCTGAGCCGAATCCCAAGGGTGCCATTAGGGAAACCAAAGGAATGAGGTGTGTCTGATCTCAGTGCCCTGGGACCCAGCAAGCAGGATGCCACGTAAGATTTGGGGCAGAAACAGTCAAACTCGGTAGAACATAAACCAGCAAAATGGCAACCAAAGGACACTTTGCATTAATCCGCTCTATGGTTTTGCTCCTTATAATTGCCAGGCACCAGGATTTTTATGAAGAAGCTGTAATCTCCTTCCTCCATAATTCATCTCCCTGTCTTGCCTCTTATAAATCACCTCCCAGGGACTCCAGTTTCTGGGCCACCCCATGGTGCCCTCACAGGCTGGGCTGTCTTGCCACCTTTTTTATAGGCTCTCTGCTAAGAAAAACCCATTTTCACGCTTAATATGCATGAAGGGCAGCCATTATTTTCAGCATTTTAACTTAATTAACGGTAACAACCTGGGTGCGGTGCTGGAACGAGAAAGGAAGGGATTCTTCTGCAAGTTGACCTGTTGGTGGACAACTCAGAGAGGCTTCTGTGGCCATCGCATTGCTGGGACTTGCTGTAGAGGCACCTGGGGAGAAGGAATGCTTCCGTCCCTGTGGGAAGCTCAGGCCACTTAGCACCCTGGACAGAGACAGGCAGGTGCCGTCTGGGCAGTGGACAGACCCCGGTTTTGGGTTTTGTGCGATTTTGTGCTCTGCCCTTAGGAAAAGGAGCGCAACAAAGGTCAGAAGAAGTCCCTGGTTTTACAAAAGAGGTCTGAGGAAGTGGGGCCTCTGGACCTTGTGGAGCCCACAGAAGAAGAAGAAAACCAGGTTATCAAGGTGAGCAGACAGGGCGACAATACAGAGAAACCTATTGGGTGGGGGCAGGGAATGGCTCCCCTGCTAGCCACCGATTGTGCTAGGATACAGCAGCGAGCCAGACATTTAGACAACCAGCTCCCTTCTAGGAGAAAGGGAGACAGACACCAACAAGGAGACAGTAAACCATTTCAGGCACCAAATAAAGGAGGCAGGATAGAGAATGACAGGGTGGGGCTTGGGGGCACTCCTTTGCCAGAGGAGGGGTCAGGGAAGGCCTCTCGGAGGAGGTGACATTTATTTTCTTTGAAACCAGAATGATGAGAAGGAGCCTCTCATGCAAAGTGCTAGAGTGAGAACATTTCAGAAGGAAAAGTGCAAAAACCTTGCTCAGGAAGCACATAGTAGGTGTGAGGTCCTCAAGGCCAGGGCACACCGGGAGAGGAAAAGAGGTTGGCAGGGACTGGTGGTCCAGGCGAGATGTCTAGGTCACTGGGGGTTCAAAGCAGGGTAGTGACCTGATCTGACTTAGGAAGATCTGGGGCAGCACAAGTGGAGGCAGGAGACCAGTCAGGAGGCAGGTGTGGTCCTCAGGGGACAGATGACAAGGGTACCGGTTCTTCCCCTAGCAAGGAACCTTGGGGACAGCTACAGTGTGAACCCCCCTGGGTCAGTGCTGAGTTTGGATGCACTGACTGTCATGGCCACAGCCAGCCTTGGGTTTGTCCAGCGCAGCTCTTTAATTTCACAGACTCCTTTGTCCAGGCAGTAAGTATTTACCAAGCCCTAAGTGCGAAGCAGGGTTCTGGGCCCTGGGGATAGTGTGGTGAACAAAACAGATACATCCTCTGAGCTCGTGGAGCTCACACTCCAGTGGGGGGGGGGGGAAGAAATGAGATACCAAAAGGACCAACAATGGACTACAACCAGGATAAACAAACAACCTTCCTAGTGTGGCCTGTGGTGGCAGGTGCCATGGAGGAAAATAAAGCAGAGAGGGGAGATGGATGAGTTGCAATTTAAATAGGGCGATCAGAGCAGGCTTCGTCAGTACATGGTATTAGTACACAGACGTGGAGACAGTGAGGCACTGAACCGCTAAAATGTCTGGGGGAAGAGCATTCCAAGCAGCACAAGTAATCAGTGCAAAGGCCCTGAGGCAGGAGTAGACCTGGCGCATTGTGGGAACAGGGAGGAAGGTGGAGTGGCTGGGGCAGAGGGAGTCAAAGAGAAAGTGGGAAGTGAAAGCAGACTCTGCAGTTTGGACTTTGCTTTCACTCTGCTGAGATGGGAGCCACTAGGGGCTTTGGAGCAGAGCAGGGAGAAGATCAGATTATATTTCAAAAGCATCTCCCCAGGGGAACCTGGGTGGCTTAGTCTGTTAAGCGTCTGACTCTTGATCTCAGCTCAGGTCTTGATCTCAGGGTAGTGAGTTCAAGCCCTGTGTTCGGGCCAGAGGACCTAGAAGGATGGGTTCATGACTCATGGAGACGGTGAAGCCTATGGTTAGCTGTAGGATGGCAGGAGGAAGGTAAGGAGGTCAGACAGGACCTGTGAACTTTAAGATGCCTGGTGGGAGCCCAGGAGGAGGCCTTGCCCAGGCAGGCGGATATAGATGACTGGACTTCAGGAGCGCTTAGGGCTGGAGACATCCCTGTGGGAGGCATCAGCAATTAGCTGGAATTTCAAGCCAGGACCGGGTGAGATCCTGGAAGGGGTAGGCGTGGATGGAGAATGAAGGGGGTCCTGGGTCTGAGCGAGGGACACTTCCCTGTACAGGGGCTTGGGAGGCGAGATGACTGATAGTAGAGAGAGTGAGGGCCTTGCCAGGGTGACACAGTCATCAGAGCAAAACTGAGCTGGACTCCAGGCCTCCTGCCTCCTGCCAGACACCAGCCAGGGATCCTTCTACCCCCTCGGGTCGCCAGAGCACACTGTCCACAAACAGGGAGGTCAGTTGTGGCCCAGAGAGGGACTTCGGTGCAGTCATCACACTGGGTGGCAGGGTTAGGGGAGTGTGCTTTCCCTTCCCACATGCTCCTTGGGCTCCCTGGGAGGAACTGGAAGGGACTGGTCTAGCTGGCAAAGGGGAGCTCACTCAGAACTGCCCCGCTACCTGCACCCTGGGCAGTGGTAAGGCACATGTTACATCCTAAGGAATGTCTTGGGGAGGCTGTTCCATCTCCCTAGAACAGGATATATGGGTCGGGAGGTCCTTTCCAGATCATTCCATCCAGCTGCCTCATTTTAAGGTGAGGACGCTGATGCATAGAGAAAAGCATAGTTCAGCAAGAGGATGGCATGGGCAGGGCCGGAGACCCTCTGCGTGGCCCTTCAGGCAGCCCCAGCCCGTTTCTCACTGCCAGGGAGCCCCTGGGACTCCTCCATCACAGCTCTCCAGATAGGCAGGGAAGCTCAGCTGGCCTGTGAACCAAGACCACTGAACCAGGAAGCTCTGGGGGTGGTGGCAAGATCAGTCAGGCCCCCACCCCTCACCCCCCAGCTCGGCCACAACAACTTCTCCTGGTAGCGAGCCTCCAGACAGCTCCTTTGGGGTCTCACCTGTGTCCCCATGGTCCAGAGAAAGTCTCGCCTGGTGGCGCAGACCCTGGAGTCAGACCCCCTGGGTGTCACACACCCTCTCTCTCCACGACTTAGTACCTGTGTGGCTTTGATCAAGTTACTCTACCTCTTTGCCCTCATGTTCCTTATCTGTGAAATGGGCGCGCCACTAGTCATGTCTACCTCTAGGGCTATAGAGAGGCTTCATACACGCAAAGCGTTTGGAGTGATGCCTGTGCTGCAAGGCTCCAGGTGCCAGCTCTCCTTATACAGGAGAAGAGGGACGGAGAGTTTCCTCCCACAGTAAGAGCCAGGGGGTTTCCTGCGGACCCCTCCCCTCCTGTCCCAGCTTCCCAGCCAGGGGAGATTTGTTGATCCTCCTCCCAGCAAGACTGGGGTGACTTCCAGGATCCAGCCCCCTGGTTGGAGTTTGGGGCGGGGGGCGGTTCCTGCCAGAATTCTCTGGCTGGCTCTGGAAGGCCGGAGGCTTCCCCGGAGGATGGATCAGGAAAAGCGGGGCCGCCGCAGAGCCGGGTGGCTACTGGCCGTCCCTCCTGCCACCTGCAAGGCACCCGGGGGTTAATGGCACGTTCCGTGTCTCTTCCTTCTTGTTAACTCTGCCTTATTTCACAGCTGACTGCTCCTGTGGAAATTGGAATGAAGATGAACTCCAGGCAGCTGGAAAAGTACTGGGCTGCCCTGGAAGAGTTGCTGGGTAAGGCGCTGCTGTCCACCCAGAACGGTAAGGGAAGGCGGGCGCCTCTGCGGCTGGGCCTGGCCTCATCCACCCGGTGTTAATATTCCAGGAGCGCATCTGAGCGCGATCTGGGGACAGCGATTTGTTTTGCTGCCTTGCACTTGAGAACAGGAAGCTGCCATATTGGGGGAAAGGGTACCCCTGTCTCTGAGGGGAGCCTCATCACAGAGCAGGGCAGGCTCTGAGAGCTCCTGGGGACCACTGAGGCCCAATCCCCAGCCAGGGGCATCTCAAGGCTCTGCCCCATGGCTCAGGCCCCTTTCCCAAATCCCCTCCTGGCAGAGTAGACCAGGACCCACACCCACCCCTCCCCCTGCTCCAGATACGTTCATTCCCTCCCTCAAAACACCACCAGCACTGGGGTCTTCCTCTGAAGGGAACTCTGGAACAGTCTGGCCCCCAAAGCCTGCATTTTTTTTTTTTTAATCTGTTCTACAAATCGAAGTGCTGAGCTGCACTTGGCCTTGCCCCGTTCAAGGTCTGCCAGAGTAACTTATGCAAAGCTAGGACTTACCTGACAAACCGCTACTAATGACTTCTCATCCTCCCCAGGAGGAGAGGAGAGAGGCGGGGAGAAAGTGTTGGAGTGGGAAGAACCAGAGGTTAAAGGATTTGACCCAGGGTACAGAGAAAGCTAGAGGCTGAGCTGCCAGATACCTGGCCAGTCCGCCCTGCATCCCGGAGGCGGGGGGGGGGGGGGGGGGGGCCCCCCGCCCCCCCCCCCCCGCCGGGGGGGGGGGGGGGGGGGGGGGGGGGGTGCCCCCTCCTTCCTGGCTCTGCAGGCAGGTTTAGAAGTCAGTTTCATAAGTGGACCTGCGAATGTTCCTGAGCGCAAACCCTGCTTTTCCCCAGCAGACAAGTGACAGCCCGCTCTGGGGAGAAGAAGGTGGAGCCCTCCTCCCACCCAAAGGAGGCCCCAAAATCTGCATGCCCAACAGCGGGGCTCCGAAGGAAAATGCTCTCTCCCAGGCAAGCCCCCCATCTGGCAAATAAAGCGGGAAATACACAGAAACGACTCTTTTATTTAATATTTTAATTTTGAAAGTTTAAACTCAGGTCATTCCATATAGGGGGTGGGGGGATAAAGCTTGGAGTGGGCTGTAAGTGGTGGTACGTACAGGAGCAAAACGTGTGCCTTTGATAAATTCTACGTTCAAATATGAAGTCAGACCCACAGAACTGGAAGATCTGTGCCGCTGAGAAAAGATGGCATTTTCTGCCCACACACACCAGCCAGCGGCAGAGCAAGGACCAGAATTCAGGTCTCCTGAACCCTTGTTGGTCTACTTTCTGTGTATGGGCAAGCTCGAGGTCTAATGGGCCAGAGAGTTGTGAGACTTCTGCACTCAACCCCTTGCTGTGTAACTTCCAGCTAGCCCTCTAACCTCAATGAGCCTTTGCAAATGCAAGGTGGTAATATGTGCCTTGAGATCAGGGGACAGGCACCAGCAAATCACTTTTATTACTATCATCTTGTGACTCTACGCTCCAGCATCCACAGCAAAATTCCACCATCAACACACTTATTTCTGCCTTCTAAACAAAACTGGATGGGAAATATCATTCTGATTTCATTTTGCATTAATGAATGTTCATTTATTTATAAACCAGGGCTATATAGGAACCACAGCTCCCGCTATCCATAGGTTACCAGCAATTAGACATGCTGCCCCTTCGGCATTTCCACCCACCACAGTCATCACGGGAGCTTAGCCACAGTTGGTAGTTAGCGGAACCAGACAACCCCAACCCTTAGAATGAACACTCCTTTGGTGGGCTCTGACTGCTTCTGAGGGACACCTGAACCTTCCAGGGGACCCAGACCCTTTACACCACCCAGTCCCACAATTTCCCACGCATGTACTGATCAGCCCAAGTGCAGCTGCAGGTTCATGGGAAATGCTGCCAAGACAACCTGTAATAAATGTGGAGAGGGCTGCGCAGGGCAGGGGAGGAAAAGGAGGAAGAAAGGCAGGGAAATCTACAAAGCATGCCCTTGGGAAGTACTGGATCCAAGACCCCTCCTGGCCCTTCGGAGCTCCGCCGTGCCATTCACATCATTCCACGGAAGCCACTCCAAAAAGCAGACCAAATGCTAACTGTCTCTTTCCAAGGCAGAAAACACAGCTTTTGTGTCTTTTCCTCTCTGCTCAGATCTGTTGCTATATGAGACTACCTTCCCCATCACCAGATGGGGGCGCTCAACACGCCCACTCCCTCTGCGCCAGCCTCCCAGCCTCCACGCCCCCACGCCCACCGCCCCGCGTGGGGGGAATTTTCCTTAAGATCCTGGGGTTGGAGAGCAGCGTTGAAATAGGTGACAAGAAGGAAACGAGAGCTCTAGGTGACTGCGCCAAAGGCGATCTGCATTTCTGAAAACGGAATTGGTTCCACAGCTACAGCACTTAGGTGGCCCGAGGGTGGGGTTCCTTCTGCAGAACAGCCCTGTTCAAAGCTCAGCGAGGCAGCCAGGTTCTCCCTGACCCTCACCCAGTGGCCTCTGATGTGCTTCTCAGTAATGAGCTGCAACAGGGACCCAGCCACCACCTCCATCTGTATGCACAGTGCCCCAGCCGCCTGGTTGGATGTGTCCGCTCCTTTCTTCTCGCCTTCTCCTCCTGCTGCTGTTCAATTTCTCACAATCGGTTCAAATAATTCTTTTTCTCCAACGAGATCCCCCAGTTTCCAGGACAGCAGACTCGATTGCTTACTGGACATGCAGAGCCCTGGAAGAAATTAAAATGGGGGATGGGGAGGGAGGGATAGGGGAGGATAGTGTGAGCTGAGAGGAGACAAAAATGACCATATTTTCACAAAAGAGAAAAAGGGATCCGCTTTTGGTTAAAGCTCTCCACAGCCAGGAGCAGGGATGGGAAAGGGGAAAGTGCCCCGAGGAACCAGTCAGGAGAGGACTGCGATCTTCCTCACATCTTTACTGAGGTTCATCCCGTGAATTCTGCAAGAATCTCTCCAGAAAACTGGCAATTACGGAGAGTTACAGATTATCCCTCTTCGTCTGGAATGTACTTTACACTTAACAGGACCACAGGTAATTATAGGGCAACCTGAGCCTTGCTTCACAAGATGGAGATGATGAGGTATTTTCTCGGTAACCACATCGGTATGATTTTATAATTACCGAGCTACGTGGATTTGCCATGAAATTGAATAGTTAAAAGCAAAGAGTAATTGCCTGATATCTGTACTCTGTAATTTTGTATAATCTAATCATGGACAAAGCCCAAAAGAAAATGTTCTGAAAGCATTACATTTTCCTTCATACACAATTTGTTATTGATATAGAGGAACGTATTCCATGCCGCTAAAGGAACTCTTACCACAGGTATCAAAGTGTGGCCAAAAGAATGAGAGTTTTGTTATATTTTCAGCCGATTGTGAAAAGCAGCCAACCGGACTGCCCATTATACCTGTTCTGGAGTTTCTCTGTGACTCTATTTGCCCCCTCACTGACCTGGAGGGATGAAAGGTAGCTCTCTTCTTCCCCGGGGGGGCACTGAGATAAGGCAGCCAGAAGCTGGGCTGTGCTAGGACCATTCAAGCCAAGACCTGAGCCCAGAGGGCACCCACTTTGTCCCCCACTTTTCAATCACACTCTGCCAGCACCCCACCATCCCATGGTGTGATACCACCCATGATGAGGTTCCAAGGAAGCCCAGAGAAATGCACAAGGCTGGCAAGGGGGTGGGTCAAGGATGAGGCCATGGTCCCCCAGGGTTTCTAAGGACCTGATAAATGTGTGCAAGGCTCTTTGCAGGAGGAGAAGGCGAATGGAACCCACTAAAAGATTTATGGCTGTTGTTATTCTAAGGCTCTGCTGAGACAGAGAGAGGTCAGCAGGATGGCAGGCAGTGTGCCGGCCCTCTGGGAATCCAGAGCCTTCTCCTAGAGGCCCCTCACCTCTGCTAAATGTGTGGATGTGGTTACTAAGTAGATTTTGGACACTGGAGCCTGCTTTTCCTCTTCTGCCTTTAATAAATCAGGAAGACCGCCCGCAGCCTGAGCTGCTCACCTTAAAAAAAAAAAAAAAAAAAAAAAAACACAAGAAAGTGAGGAGAAAGGGGGGCATGCAGGGCAGCCGCTGACTTTGCAATATTGCCCTTTGCTTTAAAATATGCGTTCCCATACTCGACCCAAGAGGCAAACTCTGAGAAAGCTCGCATGAGCCTCCAGGGCGGCTCACAACACAAGGCAGTGGTGCTGGAAGAGGACGAGGGCTGAGCCCGAGGCGGGGAAGAGGAGAGGGGCAGTGAAGAAAGTGTGGGGGTGCATCAAGGAGCAGGTGAAGGCGTCCTGGCAGACGATGTGGGTGGAGGGCATCGGAGGGGCTATCAATCCACGGAAGGGCCAGGACTGGAACAGACTGGAACCGGGCCTTTCCAGGACAGGGTACATGGAAAGGCCCCAGACCTGAGAGGGACGATTGCCTTGTGAGGGTTTTTCTGATTGACTTTTCTCCATCCGACCGTGAGGCTTCTTCCGGGGGTGGGGGCGGGGGGGAGGCAGGCATTGCAGGGGAGCACTGATTGGCAAACACCCTGTGGGGGGGGCACATGAGCCCAAAGGCCCGTTGGACACAGCGAGATATCCAGCAACTTCTAGAAGCCCCACGGAGACAGAGGATGGACTGCAGGGAGGCAGAAAGCCATGCCTGCGGACATGATGGGTTCCAGGCTAGAGGGAAGACAACAGGCTTGGCGGGTGGGGGTCACTGGGCCCTAGGTGTGTACAGCAACAGCAGCAGCCCCAAACCCAAGCCCGGCTTGACAAAGCCCACACGGGGGACCATTGCTGGGGGCGGCTCCGGTTCAGGACATATTTTTAAATCGTCCTGGGATCCATTGTGATGAAACAGACCATAACTCTGCAAAGTGCCAGAATGTTCACTTTGTTTAAGCGTCAGATTCAAGTCCTCTTAGAATACACAGGGCCAGTATTGATGCCGAAAGGCTCGTTCCTTATATATTGAACTGCACAGCTGCAAGGAGCTGCACAAATGTTACCAACTCATTTGTCATGCAAACAGTGCTTCAGAAAGAAATAAAATACTATTATGTGGTGTATGTGTTAGGCAATCACTATATCAAATTCATGGCAGTCCGTGCAAACACAGGCAGAGAAAAGGAAAACAACACTTGGTGAGAAAAATTGCACCACATGGGAACAGCTAAGTTGGGGGAGATGGGGAGGCTAACAATGGAAGCCTGACAGCAGAGGCTGTAATTTTCCCAGCAACTGCAGCCAGTGTAGGACTACCCCCGAGGGACAGCAAGTGGCAGTGGCAGGGATGCAAACCACTGGCAGAGGGGCCTTGCCCACGACCCAGGGAAGGAATAGGGACACACAAGGCGGGGGCTGGGCGATGGGTGGGGAAGGGGGGAACCTCATTGGAAGGGTAGCAGTGGCATGGTACCTGAAGCCAAGGGCAGCCACAAACGTCTGGGACAGGAAGCTGGAGAAGGATGTGGAAGGCTTACAAAGAGGGGAGGAAGACAAATAGGCTATGAGCCATAGCTCCAGTTTCCATTTACCACCACTCCCCCATGCTTCCCTTAGGGGCCTCTCACTTCGTGTAATCAAATAGGATGCCCTATGGGAGGTTCTAAGACGGCCCTCCCTGCCCCTGCAGAGAGAGGGATTAAGTATAAACACTTAGGAGGCCTATCAGGCACTGTTTTGAACCCCTCATACAAATTACCTGTTCTAATCCTCATAGCTGCCCTACCAACTTTACTGGCCAGCGGGCTATAAATGTTAATTGGATGTGATCACACATCTGAAAGTGGTGCCGGTGGGATTTGGGAGTCCCCAACCTAAACTCGCAAGTGACACAAGACTGTGTCTCGGGGGTCTTCCTCTACCCATCTCTCGTGAAAAATCCCACTACCCACACATACGGGCTCCTCCCAGAAGCCTGTACTGCCCACTCAAGCCCAAGGGCATTTGGGTCTTCTGCCTCCTTAAGGCAATGGGCCTG